GTTTGCATCATTTCTTTTTTGTTTGCATCATTTCTTTTTTGTTTGCAGCGTTTCTTTTCTGTTTCCATGATTTCTTTTTTGTTTGCAGCGTTTCTTTTTTGTTTGCAGCATTTCTTTTTCTTTGCAGTGTGTCCCTTGTGGGCCATCGTAGTGAGGTGCTGTGGCATGGTTTTAAATAGAGTTCATATATAGAGAGAGTTGCGACATGAGACGCTGCTGGGTAGCCATCTTGGTGCCTTGCATGCATGAGTGACCACAAAGCCTATGCTACAGTGTGGCGATTGCGAAAATAATAGACAATTGAAAAAAATAGATAAAAATATTAATAAGAAATTTTTATGTCATTTGATAGTAATTATCTGTTAATCAACATGTGTTTGAAATTCATAACAAATTTCCAAAAGAAATTGATTCTCAATATGCTATTATTAATTTTTATATTACATGAAATTTTTGCTTGACCAAAATTGCATAGCGCCTTAGCTAGGCATACAACATCGCGTTTGCTCGGCTCATAAAATAGTAGGCGACAGGGCCTAGGGCTTTTCACTGGACAACTTAGAAATTCGTATAGTAAGTGGGATGGGTGTTTGTGGCCTCAGCTAGGGTCCCTAGGGTATCTCCAAAATAACTAGTAGTTATAATAAGAGAAATCCGTAAGTCATACGGTAACTGAACAAGTACTACGCTACTTTTATAGCTAGCTAGGCCTAGTCCACTAACTACCTCGTACTGTACTGCAGAGGCCTATTTTAATACACTATTTAGATAGGCTCTTCTTTTCCCATCTTGTGGCAGAGGTCGAAACATTTTTTTCATTTCTTAAAACTTATATAGTGGTGTAGAATAGTCTTTTAAGAACATTTCCAGAAAAACAATAATGTGATACGATTCTTCGTTACAGAGTTATGGATTTTTAAGTTAAACATGAGTTCAATAATTTTGCCTCGACGCTTATCTTATTTTTATCGGCTACGCACCACTGACTTAGATCAATGGGCACCAAAGATCTTATAAACACATGATAGCGTTCTCCGCGATTTACGCGTGCAAATTTTGTAATAACTAGAGTTTCTATATAGTTCCTAATTACGATGGCCCACAAGGGACACACTGCAAAGAAAAAGAAATGCTGCAAACAAAAAAGAAACGCTGCAAACAAAAAAGAAACGCTGCAAACAAAAAAGAAATCATGGAAACAGAAAAGAAACGCTGCAAACAAAAATGAAACGCTGCAAACAAAAAAGAAATCATGGAAACAGAAAAGAAACGCTGCAAACAAAAA